AAGCAAAGCGTGTACATAAGTAAAAGTTGTCATTTTAAGCCTGAATTGTCTCAGTTAGCAAACATTTGGATTTTGCGGGATTTTATTCAAATTTCTAGAACATAAGGAGTCAAATATCTTCTATATAGAGCGCAAATTTCAAGATTCTAGTTGATCTGGAGGAAAGTTTACAATTTTTGAAGGACATCGTGTAAATGTGTAAAATCGGTCATTTTAAACCATAATTCACTTGGTTAGCAAACATAGAGATTTTTCGCGCATTTAATCAAATTTTCACAACTTAAAGACTCAAATATCTTCTATACATACTGCAAATTTCATGTTTGTGCTTGATCTCCATGGAAAGTTACAATTTTTTAATGAGAGCTAATAGGCTCGAAACCGGTCCTGGGGGTGCCTGAGGTTAGCGAACCTCCAAACTGGCACCATCTAACATCTTACTTGATGATGATGACGACTTTATTACATTTTAAATTATGCATGACATTAATGTAGACAAAAAATATAATGGGAACTGACGGTCTAAGTAACGCAGGTTTTGCTAGTGTTTAATTGGAAAGCGAATACAAATGAATTTTTCAGTTTTTTCGCAACTTCTCTGTAATTTTTAAATTTGGCCTGTATTGGGTCTATACTTTTCTACCCTCTAGTTAGCCGAACTCCTTTTTGTTACTGTTATTACCTTTAATATTCAATTCAGTTTTGTTGCACAAATTACTGGATAATTATTGAAATTTTGGTTTTAAAACTGTTCAAATCTCCCCACTTTTTCATGTGACTGAAAAATCGGTATTTAAGGCCCGTTTTTCCGTGACTCTTAAATCACTGCGAAGGCATTTTCGTCCGCAACTTAATAAGTTGAAATATCCGAAGAATTTCCACGCCCATTGTGAACGATAAAAGGGACAGCAATCGTCGAATTTTTGGTGTCGTCGTTTTATGAAGTCCGTCAGGGCCCTTTGTGAGGAAGCGGAACCGGCCCTTCTCGCCCCTAAATCGTCCCTAGTGTCGCGTCCGGTACTTAAGAATATTTACGGTATGAAAAAAGACGCTCGTCGTCGGCAACTTTATATCGATTCTCCCTTTTCCGTCCCATCCAATTTGTAGATTTTACTGCCGCCGAACTCCTTTTTATTCCGACGCGAAAGTTTTTGTTTTCATTGCGGGCTGTTATTAAATTTTCCGGGGAAAATGCTCCCTGCCTGCCTCCCGGTTCTTCGATCTTACAGCTCCTTTCTTTTGTGTAAATTGCCAGATCATTTACGAATTTTCTAATCCAGTTTTTTCTTCCACTCTCGCATATTTTTGTAGTCTGGGTTTACGCGCTTAGAAACTCAAAAAGGAGCCCAAAACGGTAGTCTTAGCAAGATAGTCTGTTCTGGATATGTAAAGTAATTTGGTGTTTTATGTGTTTTCAGGTAATTCAAGATGGCGACATACATCTTGATGCCTGAAGGTAACTAAGCGAGG